TATATTTAAGATCCAAGAATGCAAGAGTGATTTCAAATATTAATCATTTGTATGTGATGTATAAATAGTGTAATTGTGGTCTGGTTAGATCAGAGAAAATGCTATCTATTTTTTTCTTGGACCTCCTGTGAAAAACTGTTAAATCATCTATTTTCGATTATAGAAATGTTCAGAAAAAGTAATTGAGAATTTTGTGTTTCTGCATTCCTGTTTTCTTCCCAGGTCCAAGGGGATGAAGATATGATACAAATCTTATCAATCCATCACTTAGAAAGTGTTAAAACACGTGGCATATGATGAATAGATCATTTCTCTGAACAATAGAGCTATAAAATGCTCACTATAAAAATGCTAGTAAAGGGCGCCTGGGTGGCTCAGATGGTTAAGCGTCTCCCTTTGGCTCAGGTCATGATCCCAGGGTCCTGGGATCGAGTCCCGCATCGGGCTCCCTGCTCCTTGGGAGCCTGCTTCTCCCTCTGCTTCTCTCTCTCTCTCTGTCTCTCATGAATAAATAAATAAAATCTTTAAAAAAAATGCTAGTAAAAATTGGACAGCTAGAAACTAGAGTCCTGTTCATATTCAGTGTAATATTGTTTGGGCTGACCAAATGACTATTAGAAATTTCATTTATTTGTGCCTTTGTGGATTAAAAGTTTTTTTTTTTTTTTCAAGGGCTATTTGTTTTCTGAACCCTTGTGGTTAGGTTCATAATGACACGAAAGGATAGAAATAATCTTAAACCAGCATAGTTTTTAAGTTGGTTCAATAAACACAAAGATGGATTGATTTTTTTTTCTTTAGTACTTAGTTTTCAAAAGCAAAGAAAAATCACTCTGCATGAAGTTTCTGCAATTTACAGTCTACAGATACTTTTATATACCCAGAAAATGCCTTAAAATGCCATAGCTTTAGAAAATAGTAAGAGAGTATTAAGAACTATAGTTTTACTCATGTGAATTTAACAGAAAAAGAAGTTTACTGAAAACTTTGTGGAATTGTTTAAACGGTCAAATAATAGTACAGTTTTTCAAGCCCTCACCTATTTAATATTTACATATGTGTAACATCACTTATATCACACTTGAAGAACCAAACGGATGTTTATAAAAGCTTGTCTTCTTTCTGTAGTGTGTTCGTAACTTGTGTCTATGTGAATACATTAATATATCTACCAAGTATGTGAAATAAGAAAAGGAAAAGTATTTGTGACAAAGAAAAAGAAGGGAAACGTTCAGGTTACTAGTACTTTTTTCCCTTCAGTTTTACTTTCATTCTCCTCTTTCATCTTCAATGTTAAACTTCCCTTGCATTTTCTGAAATGTTTCAGAAATAGATTCCAGCACAGCCACCTTCTGCTCTGTTTTCTGCCTTATGTTTAGTGTAATCAATTGTAATGTTACCTATAATTCAACTATCCATAGTTGTAATTACAAAAAGAGGTAAGCACAAATAATATTGCAAAAAGAAAATGAGGGAGGTCAGCTCTTGAGTTTTGGGGATCATTAATTCCCATGATTATATTATTGAGTGTTCACATTATGTCCTGTGGGACATAAAAAAATAAACATAATACATGGGCTGTGCTTAAAGTTAACTGATAGTCTTAGAGCAGGCGTGTAGGCATGAAAAATTAAAGGACATTAGGAGAAAGAACTAGATGGCACATGAGTTGCATGCTAAATGAGTAGTGTCGACGTTTTATGCTGCTGGAAATTCCGAGGACAGAGTGCTCACATACAGTGGGTTGGAGTGACCAGAGAAGGCCTGTGAAGGAAGTGTGAATTAAGGTGAATAGAAAAAGGAGGAAGAGCATTGTGAGGGGCAGGAAGGGAGTAAGCAGATCTGAGTTAGCAGCTATTATATTCGAGAGGTGATGACTTAACTGCCTGAAAGCCATGAAAGGAGGAGTAACTTGAGAAAGGTGGGTTTGTTCGAGCTTGTTGAAGTTCTTGATTGCTCCCTGAAAATTCTTAAATTAGAAGGAATGAGATTTAAGAGACTGGAATAGAAAGCATCCATTTGCCTCTTTGAAGCCCTTAGTAATGAGTTGAGTAGGATCAGTTGGATCCCAGTTAACCTTGTAAAGTGAAAATAAATTTATATCAAAATTGGGTTTTGTTTTTTGTTTTTTGTTTTTTTTTTAGAAGGAGCATCTATCCTAATGTTATCAGTGCAAAGTGGGTTAACTTGAAAATGCTAAGATCTCAAGTGATGGTAGAGTGATCAAGATTCTGGGGACCACTGATGAGAATTAGAGAGTGATAATTTGCCAGTGCTTCTTTACCTCCATTTAGGTGACAAATGCTCTCCCTTCAGACAAGTGCCACTTAGTATGTCAGAAATACCCATTAAATGGAGAAAAGTACTTACTCAGGATATCATACTTTAAAAGGAAAATAAAAAGAACATCTCATTTGTTGCTTGTTTTCTTTGTCCTTCCTGCAGATTATTAGTCCCTAATGGATGGACACTTGGGTTGCTTCCATAATGTTGCAGTTGTAAATAATGCTGCAGTAAACATCTCGGTGCATGTATCTTTTCAAATTAGTGTTTCCATATTCTTCAGGTAAATAGCCAGTAGTGGAATTACTGGTAATGGTAATTCCATTTTAATTTTTTGAGGAACCTCCATACTGTTGCATTCACATGAACAGTGCATAAGGATTCTTTTTTCTCCATATCCTTGCTAACACTTGTTTCTTGTGTTTTTGATTTCAGCTGTGCTGACAGATGTGAAGTGATACCTCACTGTAGTTTTGATTTGCATTTCCCTGATGACAAGTGATGTTGAGCATCTTTTCATGTGTCTATTGGCCAGGTCTTTGGAGAAATGTCCGTGCATGTCTTGTGCCCATTTTTAATTGGATTCTTTTTTGGTGTTGAGTTGTATAAGTTCTTTATATATTTTGGGTACTAACCCTGTATTGGGTATTTCATTTGCAAATATCTTCTCCCATTCCGTAGGTTGCCTTTTAGTTTTGTTAATTATTTCCTTCACTGTGCAGAAACTTTTTTTTTAGTCTAGTTTTTTAGGTTTTTAGTTTATTATTTTTATTTTTGCTTTTGTTTCTTTTGCATCAGGAGACTTACTTAGAAAAATGTTGCTATAGTCGATGGCAGAGAAATTACTGCCTGTGCTCTCCAAGGATTTTTATGGTTTCAGGTCTCACATTTGGGTCCTTAATTCGTTTAATTTTTGCACAACTGGTGATTTAGTTGTCTAAAATCTGATTACATTTGAATGTACAGACAAAACATTTGACTTTACAAAGGTGGGAACCTGACCCAAAATATGGTAAGTTGGGTACTTCTTTACTGAACATTTAAAAAAATAATCATCCATGTTAATGCAGAATGAGAAACATGGTATGTCCTTTGTAGGAATGATTCTAGAACGTACCTGGAGATGAGTTATAATTTATTCAGTTAGTTTTAAATTCAAAAAGTATGATTTAGTGTTTCAGTGGATGGTTAAGTACTTCCACTTTTTTAAAAGTCAGATTCTCGTTAAAGTACAGTTAACTTAAAACTCCTTAAGCATAAAGTTTTCACACATGTACACAGTGTATAACCACTACCATAGTCAATATAGAACACTCCCATCACCCCAAAACGTTCCCCTGTGTCCCTTTCTCTAGCAACCACTGAACAAATAATTTTCCCTCTCCAGAAAGTCACATAAATGGAGTCATACAGTATGTAGCATTTTGAGTCAGTTTATTTCTCTTAGCATAATGTTTTTGAGATTTATCCATGTTGTTGCATGTATCTTTAGTTCCTTTTTATTGCTGACAACCATTTCGTTGAGTAAGTATCCCACAGTTTGTTTAGCCATTCACTGGTTGATAGACATTTGGGTCATTTGCAGTTGGGAATTACTATAATAAAGCTACCATAAATACTTACATACAGAGCTGAGGCTACTTGTTTTGGTCTTGGGTAAATATGTGGGGATGGGATTGCTGAGTTGTGTGGAGTGTGTTAATTTTATAAAAACTGCTGGTGTGTTTTCTAAAATGGATATGCCATTTTTTTAATTCTTAATAGCTGTGAATGAGAAGTCCTGTTGTTCATCTTTGTCAGCAGTTGGTATTGTTAGTCTTCTAAATTTAACTTTTAATTAAAATGTCATTGTGGTTTTAATTTGCATTTCTCTGATAACTAGTAACGAACGTATTTTCAGGTACTCATATACCATCTTTATATCTTGTTCAGTGAAGTGTCTTGAAGTTTTTGCCAGTTTTTAAATTGAGTAGTCTTTTTTTTGGTGCAAATAGGGTGGTTTTGTTAAAGCATGGGGACAGGACCCATGGGCAGAAAGAACTGCAGAGTTATCTTCTTGAGCTTTTAGAGTTCTTTATGTGTTCTGGATTCAGGTGCTTTCTCATACATGTTTTACAAATATTTTTTCCCAGTCAGTGGCTTGTCTTCTTTTTCTTGGCATTACTTCAGAAGAGTAGAGATTTTTAATCTTCAACTTTTTTTTTTAAAGATTTTATTTATTTATTTGAGAGAGAGAGAGAATGAGAGAGAGCACGAGAGGGTAGAGGGTCAGAGGGAGAAGCAGACTCCCTGCTGTGCAGGGAGCCCGATGCGGGACTCAATCCCGGGACTCCAGGATCGTGACCTGAGCCGAAGGCAGTTGCTTAACCAACTGAGCCACCCAGGGGCCCAATCTTCAACATTTTTATATCTTTATCTTCTTAGTTATAAAATCAACTCAGGTTTATTGTAATGAGTTAAAGAATATTAAAATATATTTCCTTTCAGATCTACCTTTTTAGTATTTAAACACTAATACTCTAGTGAAAGAGAAAATTTTAATGTTATGTGCAAAGGTAAAATTTCTGCTACAAGAAACATATTTTGAAAGTTTCCTTTGTATCTTAGAAGTAAAATTTCTCTTCATGTTTAAGGGGGTAATTAGAAAAAGAAAAAGAAAAAAGAATAACCTGTTAAAATACTCCAGTTCAATCTCTTTTGCTTTTGTTTTATTTTAGTGTCATCCAGGATAAATTCTGTGGGATTATAAACATCTCAGTGGAGGGCCTACATGATGTCATGACAGAAGACCCTGAAACAGGAACTTATAAAGAGTAGGTGGATCATTTAATTAATTGCACTTGATCTGGGGTGGAGTATGGGGGCGGTAATTAATTATGTTCTGCATGATTTTTGTTCACTACTACCATATAAACACAGTGTGGTGACTTTTTAAATTTTGTCTTTTATAAAGAAAATTTTGTATTTCTTTTGCCTCTAATTAGTTTGATCACTTTTAATTTGTTAAAGTGAAATGACAAATTGGACTTCTTTAGTTTAATAATAATTTTATGATTTGACATTAGGTTTTTATGTTAGCATGTAAATGCCTTTTTTAAGATGTTTTGAATATATTCTTTTTTTCAATTAACAAAGTTTCCCTGCCCATTAGGCAAGTTACGGGGAGAGGAGGATTGGTAAACGTCCTGTATTTGTATTTGCCTGATAGAAGCATCCCTGGCATCTTTACATATTAGAGTCACTTGGTACTTGACCAGTTTTAAAAGAGAACGGTTAAAATGACATTTTTTGTGAGAATAGTTAAAATCATGTCATACTTCTACAACTATTAATTTGAAATTTCATTTCATCGCATCCTTTATAGGTAGTAGAATTGCTGTACCTTTTCTCTTATTATTGTTAATAAAGGGCATGTGTTAAATTTACGATAAGCAGGACTTAATGAGATTTGAGGCCGCTTGACTTTACATCAATAGTATACTGAGCCTGTTTTCTTTGTTCTTAAAAAAGAATCTGTAGAATGGGGCGCCTGGGTGGCTCAGTAGTTAAGTATCTACCTTCGGCTCAGGTCATGATCCCAGGGTCCTGGGATCAAGCCCCGCATCGGGCTCCCTGCTTGGCGGGAAGCCTGCTTCTCCCTCTCCCACTCCCCCTGCTTGTGTTCCCTCTCTCGCTGTGTCTCTCTCTGTCAAATAAATAAATAAAATCTTAAAAAAAAAAAAAAAAAAAAAGAAACTTCACACTTCTCTGATTGCAACCAAAATAAGAAACCATGCATGTAGGCAGTTTTTTCCAGGTTTTTTTTTAAGTTAACATAGGGTTTATGGCACATGACTATAAATATTGTGTATGCATAATATGTGACAAAGTTTACAACGGTGAAATATTTAGGATATAATCAAATGTTCCTCATCCTCTTTGGAGTATGTAATTTAGGGGAAGGATGTGTCTAATAGCACAATGAAAACACTAGTAATGAGTAAAGGCAATTATGTATGTTTTGAACAAAGCACACCAAACAGTAGAATTCTAACTTGTGCTCCAACAGAGGAAAAAAGAGGCACTGTGTGTTAGAGTCTTCATGAAGGGATAGGACTTAGGATATAGGAAATGGACATAATTATAGCATGGTCTAAGAGGAAGGGATGAGAGTCAGGAAGTTGTTAGAAATAAAGTTTAGAAATAGTGTAGTTTCATTATTTTCAAGATTAGGATACAGAGGCTCGGAAAAGTGCAGTGACACAGCAGATGAGTAGAGGAGTTCAGACTAGAACCATGGTGTTTTGACTCGTGATGCCAAGCTCAGCCAGGGAGAAAGTTTTGGTTTGGAAGAGGAAAATGTTGGGCATAAGGAAAGCAAACTGCCTAGGAGACCATTATTGGGATCCATACTACAAAGGCCTAGACTTGAAGGCTATGGTGCCTGGGTAGCTGGGACGTAAAACCAGTTTTCTTCCCTAGAATTGTTTGGTCACTGCTTTTTACCCTGGGGTGGTATTTGGCATATGGAAACACAGTGGAGAAACTATTTTCCTAACTTTTCTAGGTTTTCTACTAGAGGTTAGACTGGATCTGTGATAATCTTCCTACTCTGTAATTCTGTGAACTGCATAGAGTTTTTTTGTTTTTTTGGTTTTTTTTGTAAACTATGTGGAGTTCTAAAAATTATAGTCCATCAGACCGTAAGGTATAAATAGACTTTCAGAAAAGGGCACACGAGAAACATAAAATATTTACTTATGTAGCTAACTTATCCTCCAGCTTCCCCTTCCTGTTTATTGGAACAGTTTATTCAAAGAAAGTTAATATTTTTAGTTCTATTGAATTCCTGTTGTATTCTCAGTATAGAATAAATTAGAGCAAAGGAAGAAAACCCTGGGTTTGTTTTTTTTTTTTAACCTCTATAAGTAGTGTATTAGGGTTTTCCATATAGACAGAGCCAATAGAAGTTTTTTTTATATATATGTGTATAAAGGGAGAGAGCTTGCCAGAGAGAGAGAGATACTTATGTTATATATTTATAATAACATAAATGTAAGTAGATTTATTATAAAAAGTTGACTCATGCAATTATGGAGGCTGAGAAGTCCTAAGATCTCCAATTGGCAAACCAGAGTATAGTTTTAGTACAAGTCCAAAGTCCAAAGGCCTAAAAGTAGGAGAGCCAGTGGTGTTAAGTTTTAGTCTGAGTCACAGAGCCAGAGAAGACTGATGTTCCAACTAAAAGGCAGAGAGTGAATATTCTTTTAATTAGACCTCTTGTTCTATTCAGGCCTTCAACTGATTGAGACTCACGCACATTGGGGAGGGCAGTCTGTGTTACTCACTGTAGAAATTCACATGTTAATCTCCTGTAGAAACACCCAGAATAATATTAACCAATTATTTGGGCATTCTGTGGTCCATTTCAGGTGTTACATTTAACCACAGTAATGAAGTCTGGTTGACAGCTCATCCCTGTATTCAGACTTGTTTATGCCATACATTGTGCTGTATGAGGAAGCAGCTGAGGCTCTGTCCTGAAGAAGTTCACTACCTAGAAGGGGAAATGGGGACCAGTGGAGCGATGCCAGCTACAGAAGAAGGAGGGTTTTGGGGAAACTGCAAATAACTTATGAGAATATGTAGTGGATTAGAGCCAACTGGTAAAGTAGCTTGAAAAGGAATTTGGACTAGCATGTATAGTCAGTGGAGGTTCATGTGGCAGTTTTAAAGTGTGGAAGTACGAAGAACAGGTTTATATGTCAGGAGAGTCACTTGAGTGCATTGTGGAGGATGATAGGGAGGGGTGGAAAGGCTCACACTGAGTGGTCTTAGACCACTGAAACCACCTGGGATGCTTGTTAAAAATGCATTTTTCCCTTCCCCAGTCCAGACCCATTATATCAGAATCTTTGGGGCTATGGCAGTAGAACCTGCCTTGTAAACAGGAACCCTAGATGATTCACATGCCCTTTAAAAATTGAGAATGTACTGCCTGGGAAATGGAGAAGCCCTTCAGGTAGCTGTTCTACTAGTGCTGATAGGAGTTTGAGATAGATTGTGGAGGAAGGATTGGCAGGAAATGATGACAGGTGGGTGTGGCTAGAGAGTTACAAGTATTTATAGTTTGGGGGACATGACATACATAAATTTTTAAGATACTGGTGCTTACACCTAACAACCTATGTCTATTTTTATGCTTTAATGTGTCTTCATAACTGTATTCTCACAGGCTTTTAAAAATTAAATGTAACATTTTATGTGGGGAAAAATGGAGGTGGGTTTTTATCTTAAGATGAACCTTTTTTTTTTTTTTGTAGTAGAAAAGTTTATCTTCCAAGATAAATGGGTAGTTAACAGTTGACTGTTACTGATCTTGATACTGGTATTTCTTAAGAATGGTATGTAAAATGAATCCATTTAGAAGAAAGAAGAGTTCTATTTTCAGAGTTTAAGAATCTCGATTTTTTTCTTTTTTTAAATTGAAGTATAATTGACATGTAACATTATATTAGTTTTAGGTGTACAACATAATGATTCAGTATTTGTGTTTATTGTGAAATGATCAACACAGTAAGTCTAGTTAACATCCATCACCGTACATAGTTAATAAATTTTTTTTCTTGTAATGAGGATTTTTAAGATTAATTCTCTAAGCACCTTTTAAATATGCAATAGAGTGTTAGTAACTATAGTTACTGTGCTATATGTTATATCTCCATGACTTATTTTATACCTGGAAGTTTGCATCATTTGACCCCTTTTATACCCATTTTGTCCACCCCCCGCCACTCTCCCAACTCTGGCAACCACTCTTCTCTCTCTGAATTTTGTCTTTAGTTGGATGTAGAGTTCCACATGTGTATTTTTACTTTTGTTGCCTTTGCTTTGGAGTCAGATCAAAAAAATCATCACCCGAAGACTGATGTTGGGAGCTTACCACTTAAGTTTTCTTCTAGGAGTTTGATGGTTTCAGGTCTTACATTCAAGTCTTTAATCCATTTGGAGTTAATTTTTGTGTAAGGTGTAAGATAGTGGTCCAGTTTCATTCTTTTGCATTGATTTCTTTATATGTTTGTATTTTGGTTAGTACAGTTAATTCACTAAACCAGGAAAATAGATTAGTGAGGCTTGAGATTTGCCTTCTACTTGTCTTTGGTTAGAGTGGTTTTCCTTTCTTCCCTGAAGTAATATTTTGTTTTTAGGCAAATTGGGAAATGAAATTGACAAACCCCTTGCCAAAGTTTGGGAAGTACAAAGAAAGGATTCAGCCAGCAGTTTCATGTATAAGTGGCTAGAATTTCTTAAACGTGCTCCTGTAGAAAGCAGTCATGGTTAGCAGAATGAGATTGCCATGATGCCTGTCGAGTCACTGGGACTGGGGTCAGCTTTCACTGAAGCAGACGGGGACATGGACACATATAGAGGCATGGAAAAGGAGGGTACTGGACACATTCAGGGTACTTCTGGAAGGAGGATGGTTACATAATCATCCAAAGTGTCCACTGCAGAGACAATTGAATAATGCTGTCAGTTCTAGTTTTATTGTGACATTCCAAAGTGAGTTTTAGATTAAATGAAAGGTTTTATTGCATGTACCTTTTAAATTCGAAATAATTTAAAGGGTTTCATGTTGTATGCTAACGCTATTGGTTGTGTTTTCATTGGTTAGAGTTTCTTGTTGGGAAAGATTCTGATTTTTAAGTGGCTAAAGTGCCTGGATCTATTTAGTGAGTGGGTGTAGCATGTGAGAGGGTCTGGCTGCCTCGGTTCACATATTAATTGTCACTAATTTAGACTATTTTATTATTATTATTATTACATTCATTGCATACATATTTTAGCTTATTAGAAATCTATTAATTCCCACCATGCCTTTTATGTAAAACATGATTCCCTGTCTTTAATGTTTGTCAAAAAAAATAAGATTTGAGTTTTAATTGGAAACCTACCTGCAGGAAAGAATTTCATCTTTAGGTTTTTCAAATTCATTTTTTTTTACTCTCAATTTACACCTTCCAGAGATCCAAGTGAATGCAGTTTGCAGAATTGCAGAGGAAAAATATTCTGCCCTCTCAATAATTTTTGGTCTCTGGAAAAAAATTATATGTGTAAATGTATATTTATATGCAGAATATACTCCATTATATATGTGATAAATCATTTAATTTAGGGAAAGGAGAAAGAGAGTTTTTACTATTCAAATAAGTTAACAGATTTAGGAATGTGGTGAAGGAATTTCATGCAACATAAAGCATACTTCCTGGAGATCCAAATTCACTGCAGTTAGAATTCAAATCTGTAGCAGGCATAACATAGCGAGTATGAAGGAACTCCTTATTATTCAGTTCTAAAATATAAAGTGGGATTTAGATTGTTTTCTAGACATTTCACTTTACTAAATAGCGTTTGGGCTGGGATAATAATATAATTTCTCACTTAGTGCCAGAGTCCCTTGGCCAACTAGTTGTGCTATATCATATTATATCATGGTGGATGAAAGCATTGCAGTGTCAAGAGGTTAAGACCATGCAGTGGGTTAGGAATTAAGCTCTTGCTGTTTCTGATTGAATGCACCAGTATGCACTGACTGGGTCAGAAGTAGTTGTTTAGAAAAGTTGATTTTTTTAATGCTGGGGAATAGAGGGAAAGGGATGTTCATATCCCCTGCAGGAGTGAGCCTGATCAGGTTTCTGGTGTCAGCACTTGTCTTTAACCTTGAATTAAAAGTTATTTACACAGCTGAGTCAGGAGTTATGTTTCCTCTATACTTGCTACAAAACATAAGAGAAACCAAGCTTTCTTTGCCACAGTTTATTGGTTAGGAACCTTTGACTCTGATAAATTCCTGAATTCTGCTATTCTAAATTAGGAAGCAGTGAGGTTTATTCCATCAACTGGATTCACTAGACAGTATTTATTTCTTGCCTCCCTGGAAGAGAGAAACTATTGACTAAATAGGAAACTATATTTCTGTTATCTCTGTTAATGGTGAAGAGCAGTGGTGCAGATAATCAAAATAAAATGATTTATAACTGTTCTACAGGTACACGTGCTCTCAGGGACAAGTTCCTCATAGCATAGTAATGTCATTTGGAGCACAGAGTAGATTATTGCATAATTAATGTTGTTTTAATGAGGTTATTAAATTATTGCTATTGTTAAGAAACATGTATAATCTACAGACATAAGATTGGTGGTAAAAAAAGGGTTAATCTTAAGTGTCTCTGAGTATCATTTTTTTAGAAAAACATAAAGGGTACACCTTGCTTTGTCAAGTAATATATGGTTTAAAAATCACGTATACATAAATTCCTTGTAACTTGCTGCCTTCAATTCTCAAGTAATATGTTCTAAAATATTTTGGTATGGCCCTTTTTCTAAAAAGTGAGGTACATTTTTGTAATTAAATCTTAAAATTTTAAATCTAACTTTTCTAGCTATTCCTCACATTTTGGTACATAGAAGCATTAATATTCTCAGTGATTTTCAGGCTTTGTTTCAGCATGTTACAGATGTTTTTTATTTACTTAAAAACTTTTTTTTTTGTAGCTGTATGTTAATGTCTCATCTTGAAGAACCAAAAGTTACAGAGGATGAAGAACCACCCACAGAACAGGATAAGAGAAAAAAGATGGTAAGTTAAAACGTAGCTTTTAAAATTTGGGAGAACCATCTATTATTATATTCTTTAGGTCTGAAAATGTCTCTTGGTCAGTTCATCCATGTATCCATCTCTCTATCCATCCCCTATTGTAGAATTAATGTAAGCTGAGCTTTGAAATTTGGAGTGTACTCCTAAAACAGATAAATTGTGTTCCTAGTAATCCTAGTACAGGAAGTAGAGTTAAAATCTTAATCTGAAATAGCTTTTCTTGTCTTAGCAGAGCAAAGGGTTTACTCTTTCACTTACAGAAAACATGTGACCCTCAAAACTCATTTAAGTTGTAATGCTTACTCTTTGGTTTTGAGGAGATTTACTGAAATTGCTTCATTCCGTTACTTCATGAATTTTCACAACGAATTTTTTCTGAGCTAATCATAGGCTTTTACAAAAATTCCTTTAACTGCTAAATTGAAACAAAAAAATCAGAAACCTCTAAAATATCCCATCTTTAAAATTATTTATAATCTTGAACTTTTAAGTATTTACTTCGACACATGAATGTAAAATAGCCATAGAAGTCACCTTTTCCCCATTTCCTCATGGAATCTGTTCTGGTCTTCTGGCCTCATCGTTACTAATTGCGTTGTGCCTTCTTTCCTCATTCGCACTTGAGAACAACAGTAATATCCCTCAAAAGTAAATAAATCAGTATATAAGCTGGTAATGGGATACACTGAACACCTCGTAATTACTGGTGATCCTTATTTCAGTCTGCTCACAACATTCCCTCCTTGAATTATGCCACATGAACCCACAGGGGGCTTCACTTGCCCTCAGGGTGGAGCTGATACTGCGCTGCTCAGACAGCCTTCTTTTATTTTTTTTCTAAATTTTTTAAATTAAAAAAATTTTTTTAACTTCTGTTTTTTTTTTTAATGTTCAATTAGCCAACATATAGTACATCATTAGGGTTTTTTTTTTTTGGTTTTTTTTGTTTGCTTTTTTTTAGAGAATGCATTCTTTTATTTCAAAGGGGGAAAGGCAAACAACCTACAGATCATGGTAGACCTGAAAGAACAGGATGAATTTTAACATTTCCATCACTTATTTTTTTTTGGAAGCCCAACATATCTACATCATTAGTTTTTGATGTAGTGTTCAATGATTCATTAGTTTCATATAACAGCCTTCTTTTAAACCGTGTTAGAGTTGAATCCATTTTACTTGGCATTTTCGCTGGAGTGATGAAAGCCTTTCAGTATAGCCTAACAGTTTGTCTTCTCCTTCCTCGTCTCCACTTTTGAAGGCATTTAATATATAATTGGTGTTATGGAAAATATAACATCTTCCTTCATAAGATTCTAAACTTGTAGATGAGTAATAGGTATTCTGCTTCTCTTCATTCCTCAGCTTTTGTACGCACTTTATGCACATCATTTAGTCAGCTAGATTGACCCTTAGCAAGTTCATCTACTCAAATTTATTTTTCATCCTATAGAGAATCCTCAGTAACATCGTATAGTACTAATTTTAATCCTAACTGGATTTTGAAGGTAAGTGAAATATTACCTTAAGGAACAGTGTAAGAGCATAGTTTCAGAAGTAACACTTAAAGTTTCTTGTTTCAGCTTTGTGATTTTAAGTATTGTTTGATAGCTGGCTGTTTTATCGTTATTGTTCTAATCATGGGCAGTATTATTTTACAAAACAACCGTTATTTTTTCCAGGGGCTGATTTTTTTTTTTTTTTTTTTTTTAGATTTTATTTATTTATTTGACAGAGAGAGAGACAGCAAGAGAGAGAACACAAGTAGGGGGAGTGGGAGAGGGAGAAGCAGGCTTCCCACTGAGCAGGGAGCCCGATGCGGGGCTGGATCCCAAGACCCTGGGATCATGACCTGAGCCGAAGGCAGACACTTAATGACTGAGCCACCCAAGCGCCCCTTCCAGGGGTTGATTTTATTTGAAATTAGTCGTCACAGTAGCATTTTGATGTAGATTTATATTGTCATCTCTACTAAGATTTCCAGTGCCTTAGACTTAGAGCATTAGTCTAATGCCGATGATACCTCAGCATTTATGGTTAATGCTGGGATTATTTATCTTAGCCTTGAATAGGTCTAATTTTGAATACCATGATAATTTTTCTGTAACTTTTTAGTAACAATATTAGTTTCACTGTATCTTCAGGCTTACCAGTATAAATAATGTATTTTTTTCAGTAATTATATCATCATTCTCGTATGTCTTTAACATTAGAAATTTTTTGAGAACTATCTAGGTGTGTCCTGGTTGTAATTTCAAAGGGAAAAATGTTTGCTGGTAGATGATTATTAACTATTATTTAAAAGAAAAACCAATCTAGTGTCAAAGGGTTTTTCATTTTAAAGTGAAAATGTTTACTTACAAGGAAGAAAAAGTGTAACTGCTTGGTTCCACAATTAAATAACTAAAAGTTTGATTTACTTAACTGCCATTGTTGTCTTCAAGTTGTCCCTAAAATGTGGTGTCTGCATTTCAGTAGCTCCTTTGCAGAGGATAGCAGCGTGATTGTAATTCAGAAAAGTGGATGATTAACATTACATCGAATGTGCCAGGTGATGTTGCATGTATTTATGAGCATTCTCATAGTTCGTTTTAAATAAGGGTGGCATTTCCATTCAGGAAAGCTATTCACCAGTCCAGACTTCTGATCTTGCCCTTTTGCATCCATCTCCTGTCTAAACTACCTGTTTGGGGGGAACTAATGGAAGGTCCAGTGCAGCTCAAGCATTTCATTTCATTCCTAAGACCTCTCGCTATCCACTATGCTCCAGGAGTAGAACGATAATTTTGTGACATCTTCCATAAAGAATTAAACTAATACATTAACATTTTAAGTTGCTTATAATTTCTGTCTTGTGATGTGTGACTTACGAGGCATTTATAAGTTGTACTTTTCCAAATTAAAGTTTTTGAGCATATTAATGCTTTCTGGGAACTTGATGGTACTGGTTAAGAAAGCATTATTAATGAAACATTTGATATAGTAAGGAAAGCTGTGTTAATGCGGTATTTCTGATCATACTTCCATGTTAAATATTTCTCAGTTTAAGCCCCAGAAATATTTTGGTGATCTGCTTCTATCCATCATAATCTAATTTCATATATACTTACTAGATGCTTTAGTTGATAATGTCAATATAGATAAGCTTGAACATTATTAAAACTACACTAACTTTGGGGCACTTGGGTGACTCAGTCGTTTAAGCATTAGACTTGGTTTTTGGCTCAGGTTGTGATTTGGGGGTCATGGGATCAAGCCCCGTGTTGGGCTCCATATTTGACATGGAGTCTTCTTGAGATTCTTTCTCCCTCTCCCTCTGTTCCCCCTTTCCCACTTGTGAGCGCACGCTCTCTCTCTCTAAAATAAATAAATAAATCTTTCAAAACAAAACAAAACTATACTAACTTCTCATTTTCCTGTGCTCGTAGAGCATTAGCAAAAATAATGGTCTATTCAAACATCATCATTTTACATTACTTTGAAGTAATAATAGTAATGCCTTATCTATATAATATTATCCTTTTTTTAAAGAATTTTTTTAGAGTGTCATCTTACTTACCCCTGTAACAGTTTCATGGCCAGATATTGATGAGGAAACCAAGTCACAGAGAAGTTGCCTCTTACTCAAGAGTTATAGATTCTGGGAAAGACCGAAATTAGAACTGAGCTTTCTTGACTCCTAGCCTGATGCATTCTTTATGATTTTAATTTCTAAAATTGCTGTAGCTTTTCTAAAATGTTTTGAGAAATCCCACATCCCATTTTGCTGAAACTGCACAATGTATGGGAACTACATGTTCGAGGGGAAAATATACTAGCTTAAAACACAGCTCAGCTACAAGTCACGGGAATTGGAATTAGATCTGTAGATTAAGTATAGTTTGTCATGTCCTCGTGATAAGCATGGCTAGCAAAGAGGTAGTTTATTAATTTGTACATTTGCTTTACTTTTATAGTTAAATGTAGTTTGCAGTTCGTTTGCAGTTACTGAATAAACTATAAACAAGACCTAGAGAAATGACCTTGAGGAATACCTGTTGAGAGAGATCAATTTCAGGAAGAACATTAATAATAATTCACAGAGATGCTAATTATTTTGTGAGTAACATTGAGTATATACTATATTTAAGTATTATTTTAAGTTTTTTTGTACTTATTGAATGCTCACTGCATGTTACACTATTCTTGAAATTGGGGATATTGCAGTGAATGGAGCTTACAGTCCGAAGAAATGATTTATGTATAGTAACAGTGTTAAGTTTATGAAGATTTAGATTAAGTAATAAACATCACAGTAGTTTTCTAAATTCATAGCATGTTCATGAAACTTGGCAGTTTTGTATATAGTGTTGTTTTAATAAATCAGTTAAAGAATGTAGCCTTCACTTCACTGACAATAACTGTTTTCTATCTCTCTCTCTCTCTCTTTTTTTTTTTTTTTAGTTATATAGATCTTTGCAAGCCTTCTATTTGATTAGTTTTTCAAGACCAGTATCATTTTGGGAACTGTTTTAACAGTTTTCAAGATCATTTGTACTTGCAATGAATTTGATTTTCACCTTTTATGTACACATATAGGAATATATCTTAATGTGTTTTAGAAGAAAAATTTAGAGCTATCTTATATCTAGCTCAAGAATATGAACTATTATTTTTCCATTATCTCTCTCAAGAGGTAGATTAGAATTGAAAACATTTATGCGATATTTTTACAAACCAATGAAAATATCATTTTAACATGTTGTACTTTACTTTTAAGGGGCTGTTTGCTGAGTGAGCTCTGCAGGTGAATTTCTATTGGTTTGTAATCAGGTCTTAAGCTTTTGATAGGCTCAAATATTTATAGCAAGAGTTTTAAATTTTAACTTGTACTGTATATAGGTCAAACAGAATCTACAGCCTAACTGAGCCAAATTTTGGGTGGAACCAAGTATTTATAGGTTGAATGACATGAGCAAACCTGGCATCCCAGTCTTCTGCTTTGG